ATCAGTGATCCTATGCCGAGCGCCTGCTTATATAGCCAGATGCCCCGCCCATTTTGGCGGGCTCGGGCGCGCTGCTTCGCCATAGGCTCGCGCAGCTCTGCTGCGCCGTAATTGGTTAATTTCTGAAACAGTGGCAGTGCAGATGCACTGCTGTGATTGAAAAAAAAAAGGCTTCAGTAAATCGGAGAAAAGGAGTTTCCCGCAGCGTCTAGCGATGCAGTACGAGGGAAGTATCGAAAGGGAACTTTTGTACAATAGTCCAAATATAAGTACTTATTATAAGTGTACCGTAGTGATTCGGAATAAGACAAAAACATGGTTTGGAAGATGAATTCATGATGTACTCGCTCTTTATATACATTTTGCAAATTTTGAACACAGAAAAATAGTGCTGCTTTAAACCGTTATGCTGCCTCAGAAGCCTGTCCAGAATCATTTTCCTGAGGTGCCTTCATGCAAAAATGCTGCCTGCAAAGTCATTGCCTGATAGGGCATTTAGGCAGCAAGTCAGCTGCCTAGGCTTTCAGACGCAGCCCTAGTGTTTATATACCCTTAGTTCCTTCTAGTCAGTGCCTTGATTGTTTGCTTCAGTTGCCCTACCAAGGACTGAAATGCTCCAGGAAAGCACTTTTTATGCTCTTTTCATGAGCTAAGCGAAATAACCAGAGCTGATTACGGTTGAAAGTCAAAAGGTGATCAGCTACACCTGATTGAGTTTACAAATCATTTTTATGAAGGGAGTGATCCCTTTTCCAACTCAGTGATTCTATTTTTTGTTTTTTTCAGATCGGTGTTATATCTTTCACCTGGATGTTATAAGTTGCACTGAGTAAATACAGCTGGATAGAACAAAAATTCTGTCCATCTTCATTTCAGGCTGCAAAGCAACAAAATGTGATTATTTTAACCCCTTTAAAATGTCAATGTATCATTTCAAAATTTCATACAAAAACAGAATGGTCTGTGTGAAATTATGCTACATAAAACATCTGCACAAAACAACAACAGCAGAGAGGCTGCATGAGAATGCAAATAGGCCAGCAGAGTGGGGGAACGATGACATCATAATCCGGAAGAGTAATTCGCCGTGGGTTCCTTCAAGATTTTCCTAAGGGGTTTTATAATGGGGTTTTTCAATTTATGAGTAAAATAAGGCCTGTTGTAAACATAACTTGATGATACTTTTACGTTTAGTTCGTTTAGTTTGAAGCAGTTATGTTCAATTTTGAAAACGTATGTTTTTAACAGACCGTGCTCAAATTTACCGGTGGGTGGTTTTAATTCACCAGCTGTCGCAACATTACCAGAAGTACTCATTCAGTCTGCTCGCATCAATGAGCATTTATTTAAATAATATATATACTCTGATACTTTCTAAATATACAGTATACTCTGATTACTGAAATTAATTTGGACCACCTTTAGCTTTCATCATATGTGAGTGAATGAGATGAAACATCATTGAGAGATGGCATAAGTGTTCCCGTTTATGATATGTCCAGAAACATGTGCGATCTAGTCTGGCTTTTCAATACAGTATCAGCAGATCAGGTGTGTGTGAGAAGGGAGCTGCTAGCCGATGATTTCCCCAGCACATCGTGAAAAGCACTGAAGTTTTCACATAGAGTTTGATAATGCACAGCCGCACTGACAAAGAATGATAGCGCCAATATTTAGAATAAGTTTAGTCATTCAGTCTTTCCTGTCTGAGCTTATTATCTGTGATCCACGTGAGATGTAAATGCCTACATCACCTCCGTAAACAAAGCAGGAAGATTCATCTACTTTTCATCATTTCTGGAAGAAGACGTGCTATGAGGAATAAACGGTATAATGTATAATGCGGTATTAAAATAAAATGAAAGTTTACACTGCAACATGATGAATGTAACAGTCTAAGAATGTTTATATCAGTGTTTTACTGTGAATACTGTGCTCACGAATAGGCTATCTGCTCAGATGTAGATATTTATGATGTGGTAAGAAGTAATAATTTAGTTTCTAAAATATAAATATATTGTTTATGTACTGTGTGATAATACATACAACGCATATGTGCTTGTATGACAATACAAAATGATGTTTTTTTTATGAGTGGGCAACATTATTGATTGCTAATGTTAATAATACAGTTGCTCCTGAAATCAGCATGCTCACAGCTGTTTACTTTTTATGCAGTGACCAGATACCTGCATGCAGAGGGACCTGGACCACAGATGAATCCTGCTGACTCAAACTCTCCCCTGGGTCTCTTCAAATTGTTTTTCTCTGAGAGTGCGGTACCAACTCAGTGCCACAACACAAATGCCTAGGATGCCAGGACAATTGACCCTTCGCAGGGAGCTTGATTGACAGGCGATCTGACCAATCATAATGCCGAATCCGCCATTTTGTCCGACAAACAAATCAGACAGGAGAGTAGACTAACTTCAGTAAACTTAAAACTTGAAAAATGGTGTGTATCGATGTCTTTCTGCAGTTGAAATTATTTTTAAAAAATCCTTCTGATGTTCATTCATGTTTATTTCATGCTTTAAGTAAATATGAAAGATGATCGGTTCACGTTTGAACTGAGGTGCTACAGTGATCTGTCACGACGGAAAGCCACAAAACCGTATTTATTGTTTTAATTTCTTAAAACATTACCCATTTTTGAAAGCTAAGACTTTGTTTCATACTAGAAGTAACCTGCCCTGCCTTGTCTGTCGGGCCGTTGTCAGTGTCCTCTTTGTTCCGCGATTGTATTTTTCACTGCGTGAGAACATGATGTGTGGCATGAGAGTGGAATGGCTTGTTGGACATAGCAACAGTAACTAAGGGGGGCGGGGTCTTTGCGAAGGGTCAATTGCAAAGCTCCATAAATACAAATAGTCAGATGTCAGCATCAGCAAGCTGTTCCGCTACATTGGATTGATATTCTACATGATCATGGTGAAGGTGAGTTCCCTCACTGACTGCTGATGGCAGGGCAGTTTTTTCTTCAGTGAATGACAAAAGAAGCAGCAAACACCTTGGAAATACCAGGTATGGTTCACTTGTGTTTACAGTTGAACAGCAATTGTTTCTAGGAATGGCACAAAGGTGTGTGACTGTTCAAGTCTCTGTGTTCAAATCAGTGTGCTCAATTATGTGCCTTTGACCTTCATTATTTAAATTTTGTTTATATTATGAACTGTGTTGTAAATAAACTACAAACAAACAAAGAAAACCATTCTCTTAATCTCCTCAAATTCTTTCTTACCTGCCTCACAGTCACATTCCACACTGATGGCCCATTAGGGGAAGGCCCTTTGTCTTTAAGGTAACCCCCCTCAGACCCCAGAGGAATAAACCATATTCGGCTCTCAAGAAGATGTCCCAGGTTAAAAAATGACAAAAGTCACTTGCGAGCTATTCAAAAGGTTAATTCCCCACCACAGTCAGGGTCCTTTAGCCCCTGTGTGACAAGTGGGGCGGGGCTAGTGGAGCAAATGATAATGAGTAACATCAGCTGCACCACACACCAGTCTCAAGTCCCACGGAGGAGCTCCAGAAGGATAAGATGGTGGAGGACGAGAGAGGACCAGACCTGGGACATTTTATGTTACCTTTTGTTTATGTTTGTGTGGCAGTCGTCCATGAGGGGCTGCCGCTTACTTTTGTTTTCGTTGTTTGTTTATTTTGGAATGTAATTTATGTTAAGCGTCTGCCGGTTCCCGCCTCCTTCTGACCTTAACGATGAACATTGTTACACCCCACAAACAATTCTGACCCGGAATCAGATCGCAGTTCTTGGAGGGAGGGTCAGAAGGTGAGCGTGGCTGCCCGCGCTCCCCATCCTAAGAGTCAAGGAGTGAAGCAGAGTCACTATTTGTATCCCACTTCCTCATCTTACTCCAATGCTCCAGTGCTATAAACTGGAGGAGATAGTTTGGACGTAGATACACCTATGTTAGCATGCTTCCTAAAGATTATAAGGAATGGGCAAATTGATAGAGCAAACAAGTGGACTTTTTTGCCATTAGCATCCCACCTGCCCTTCTGTTGGCCCCTCCAGCAGTGAAAGCTGGAGGTGATAGTGTAGATGTAGATGCATCTATGTTGACATACTTACTGAAGGAATGGGTGAGACAAAAGGGGACTTTGACATCCCACTTTCTCTGTCACCCCCCTCCATCACTGTGAGCTGGAGGTGAAAGTGTGGATTTGGATGCATTTGTCTTTACACACTTCCTCAGGGTTTACAAGGAACGGGTCAAATGACAGAATAGAAAAATGGATGAGTATCCAACTTGTGTCACCCTCTCCAGCACATTGGCTGGAGGTCGCTGTGTGGTGTCAGCACACCTCCTTGTTAGAACCATGTAAAAAAACATATAGCAAGCATCAGCTAGTAAGGGCTACATAGGAGAGAGGTAGTAGGATGGTATTTGCGTCCCACTCTCTCATTTGCCCTATCCATTCTTTAGACTGGAGGAAGCAGCCTGGCAAGAGTATGTCGGCTTGCTTCCCTGAGGGTCTGTTTATTAGGCAGTGTGTTACCCATATCACAAACATTGCAGTATCCAAAAAATTTTTGTATGTTCACAAATTAGTGTGACCGTGGCTTTACGTGGGCACCCTTTATGCTGGAATGCCAGTGACATTATATGACTACCGTTGCCAAACAAGATTGCCATGTATTCACACGTCTCAAACACCAGTCATACTCAAGGTGTTCCCATAGCATCACCATCATGGCACAGCATCTCAATCACTCATTAGGGAAATAGGTTATGTACATAACCCTAAGATGATTTCTGGTTCAGTGCATGAGAACAAAATTATTTTGAGAAAACAGCCTTTGTTGTATGGTATATTTGTGGTATTGTTATGTATGGTATATGTATGTATGGTATAGTTGAAATCTACAGACACAAATAGTGTAATAAAATAAACACTTGTGTATTACAACAAACAATGTGTATTTTGGATGTTTTCTTTCCACTAGTCTGACATAAGTAATGAACATGTGCACTTACAGCTTTAACTCCACACAAAGCCTTGCATGCTTTTTGTTTCCGGTATGCCACCCTTTTCGGACAGTTTGTCTCCGTAATGGCGAACTGCACAAAGAAGCCTTGACCTGAAAACATCCACTAAGAAAATAGACAAATATTCTGTTAACATGCAAACCACTTACAAGCAAACAACATAATGACCATATTCAAAAAGTTGTCTGTTTATGTCACAGTAATGTCTGATAAAACAGAATTGCTGTGTGAGGCCAGAAACATCTACTCAGATGCAAAGCAAGCATATACTATTCAACTGAACATACTTTGGAGAGTTATTTCCATTCATGCAGGCACAGAACATGTGTGCTAGTTGTCCGTTGCCTGTAATCTTTGCAGTGTGTTCAAACTCAACTTTTTGGTCCAGACGCAGATGTTTGAGGCAACAACATAGTCAGCTTTTCTTGCCACAAGTTTTTTTAATGTTGGTTTGGTGTGTCTGGGCCTTTACCTTCAATTGTCTGTGTCAATAAATTCAGTATTCACAGGGAATAAAACAATTCAGTTGGAGTTTGTTTTAACTGTAAAATATTGTAAAAACGCTACGGGAAAAAAAACTATTAATAGGTTAACAGTAAGTTCCCATACTATATACAGGGAAAACTGTAAAAGATCTAACCATACATTTCATGTAATTTTACAGTAAAATACTGTTTTAGAAGAAAAAAAAAAGAACAAATCAACATATAATTTACAGTAAAACACTGTAAACTGATATTCCCAGAATTCCCTGCGTGACACTCCACATTTGAAAGTATTTTTAAATAATCATGTTTCTTAATAGTTTTTGCTGTCAGTTATGTACATTAGGGTTTTATGTTACATTTTCTGTTGTTTAATGAAAGTTTATTGCATTATTTAAGTGTCGTATGTGTTACTATGAAGGTGTTTTGTGTTTGCGTGAATGACTTATTATATTTACATTATATTATATTAGTGTATATCTGTGGAAAATCTACTTGTGATGAACTTTGATACTTCATTTGGCTTTCTCATTTACCACCTGCATTATTATGGTGGTTGTCAGTATATGTTAAGGGTACAAAACAGATTTAAAATTTACTGGTTTACATTCAGATTTTCTTGTTTGTAAATTACAGTTTTATAAATGTTTACAGTTTTTCTGTACTTACAAATTTTTTTTTTTTGTAAAAACTACGTAATTTTTTCTACAGTGTAGTTGTAATTCTAATTGAAAGTGACACTGATTTCTCATGTTTAATACTGTAAAGCTTTAAAGCAATCTATTATATAAAGTTCATTATAAATAAACATGATGACTAATGTGCAGAGTTGTCAAGCTGGTGCAAACATCGCTATGATCAGATGCTCTCTTAACTGCTGTTTTCTCATCGCTGTAATGTTTGTTGTGTGTTTATTTTGTTATTGAGAGAAAAACACGCAGCACATATTTACAAATGCTGCAGCATGGGTGGTGTGGGGATATTCACTAACAGTAAACCGCTGCTCAGGTATTTCCAACTTCTTTTACCTAAGCAAAGAACAAAAAATAACTTTGCCGGGAGCAGGGTGCGAACTACGGGGAAGCTAGGGGGAGCTCGGCTCCCCTTATTAAGACATGGGCTCCCCTGAAAACGTGATTTGTGAAATTTTGGGGGGTCTCAAAAAATATTGACAATGTGTTATTTTGACGTGCAATTTCAGTTTTGTGTAATATGATCATCGTGGATTATTATGTGTAAAATTGCAAAAATATCATTCATTCATGCATGCATGACGGCGATTTAAACCTAATTCACTTCAATAAAGATAACTATACATGCTATTCTTGTCATGAGCATCAAGCTGTGGGGCGCTGCGGTGCAAATTCCACTCATGTTTAGTACATGTTAACTCAAAGATTCGTAGAACAAATATAAACGTTGGACTCTGTGGTCGATTCTGTGTTAAGGTAAGGCATGTTATTCGCAATTATGTGTTGTGGCTGGGTTATAATAGGTCTGCGTTACTCTTGATGTCTTATGTCTAATTGACCGGAGGAATTATGGTATTCTTCTGTAGCCTGACGACGAGTAACTTTAACCGTTGTTCATGTGAACTCAAAGACAGCCGGATACTTTGTTTATAGACTATTTGTGGGTGGCTGTTTGTTGTTTCACAGATCAATTCGTGTCGATAAAGCATAATGGGGTAAATCCTGTATAGTGATTTATCCTATATAGTGCTTGCATAAAGCAGGTAGTGCATACACTTGTAGCTGTTATGTGTCTTTGTAAGTCCCCACGCGCAAGCAGACGAACCCCCCCGTTATAAAAAAAAATAAAAACAAGTGGGCTCCCCCGAAGTCTACGGTATAGTTCGAACACTGGCCGGGAGTATATCAAGGCCTTGTAGTTTGGACTCAACTTTGGAATAAAATGGCACGTGTAATCAAGCTTGTGTCCCAAGAAACATTTCCGCTCATGAATTTGCATAAAATATTAACTTTTTTTATTTACTAAAAAATACATTTACTATATTTACAAAAATATAGACTTTACCTGTGTGCTGATCCTTCCCACTTCCAACAGTTTAAAGTAAGACTTGTGATTCGATTCTTTGTTGAATTTCTGCAGGGCAGTTTTCACACTCTCCAGAGCCTTCGGGTCATTCAATGGCAGTAGACTGGGGCAGTCAGGGCATTTTGTCATAAGTATTTCATATGAATCTGGGACAAAAACAGGAGCAAAATACAATCACTATGTGAATCGTATTTATAGGAGCTGCATTACCTTTTCTGTACTCTGACAAAGTGACCTTAAACATTACTATGGGTTCTTTGAATGGCTATGCAAGTCAAGTGTCTAATTATACAAACATATATAAATGCATATACATATATATTTATTCTATTAAATTGTTTACAGCACCTGGTTTGGTGTCACAGATGTAGCACGCCACAACTGCTTTTCCCTCAAAACTTAACACGGTCACATTACATTTTGCTGTCACTTTCTTTAAGGGAGACATGAAAAGGCTGTTAAATGGATGCACAACTCACAAAAGTCACTCTCTTCGGAGTGAAAAAGGCAGTAATCTGAAAATTAGAGTTTGGAAGATCTGTGATGTTCAGCTCACCGTCTCTGCTTCCATTCTAGTGGTACACTGATCTAAAGGTTTGGGATTCACAATGTGGCATTCAGTTTCCTCTAGAGTTATTCCCAAGATGACCTCACAAAGATCAGTCTGCACAGAAACAAGACAATTTGTAGCATTTGCACATCATAAAAAAGGTTTTTCTTTTACCCTTTTCTGTATTTGAAATCACTCTTTTACACCATATGTAGAACTGCCACAGAGAGACACTGATGTAGTGTACGGGAGGTAAAGCAAGCAGGCAAGTACGTGGATCTAGATGCAGAGTTTATTGAAAGTAACAAACAAACAAATGACCAGTGGTGGCTGAACAGTAGGGCAATAGGGTACCATCCTCCTTGAGCCACACACACAAAATGTATATGTTTATGTTTATGATATGATAGAAAATCATCTTTGCAAATTATATGCATAATCAAGACATAACATAAAATTTAGCCAATTAGCATCCTCGAATCTAATCAGAAAAGGGTGATTATTTTATTGCCCCTAATGAGCTACTGCTAAAATCTAGACTGATCTGTAGGGGTGCAGTTTTAACTATATGACAATGGTGAACGCAATTGTCACTGCTTCCAGACCGAAACCTAACTCTGTAAAATCTCTACTCCAGTCTGTTTGAGAGGAGAACCTTGGCAGAAAAACTGAAGGTAAAAGAGCTGGGCCCAGATCAACCTGACCTCTTAATCAGACAGCAGACTAGCGAAAAAGGAAAGCCATACGTGTGGAGCTTCTGTACTAGTTGGTACACCAAAAAGGCCTGGCTATGTGGGTGCAGTTATGCTAATAACTTACTTTGCTTTCCAGGCTGGCTGTTTAAAATAATGGGAACAGATCCAGCATGAACAGTTACGGGAGTGAAAGATATGAAGCACCTTTCTGAGTAAGAAAACACAAGAACGCAAGGGCACACTTGGATAATTCTGTCAAGCTAGCCATCCATATTGGGAAGAGTAAACATTGCTATGCAACTGGACGACGGCCACAGGATTTTGATACGAAAACACAATGAGGAGGTGGATAAAAACAGGCATATTTTATCCAAAAAAATCAATTGTGTGAAGTTTTGGGAGGCTTTTGAGCTGGCCTTGCGTGGGCATGACGAGACTGACTCAGACAACCCTGGCATTTTCAGGGGATTAGTGGATTGTGTTGCATCACTAGATGTTGTGCTGCTGGAGCACCTTAAGACAGCTACCATTTTCAAAGGCACATCAAAGGCAGTACAAAACAATTTGTTGGACTGCATGCTGTCAGTGCTAAAGGATCACATTCTGGAGGAAGTAAAGGCCGCTGGTGTTATCCCCATTCACTGCCAGCTGATACTTGTACTATGCTACATTGATGACAACAGTAACATCCAAGAGCATTTTTTTGTTTGTTTGTTTGTTTGTTTTAATTCATTATCATCCAGAATGCAATGACTGACCCCATCGCTACAATGCTTCTGGACAGGCTAAGCATCATACTCCCAGATGGACAAAAGGCCAAAATTACTGCCCCAAGCTTATGATGGGACTACTGTAATGAGTGCAACATAACACAATGGATGTCTACAGAAGTGCTCACTATGCACACTGCTATACGTGTCCGCTGAACCTCATCATGCTGCAGCGACATCACACATTCCCAAGATTTGGCACGTTTTCCAACCTTGATAGATTTTCTGCCGCCTTCTCCAGGCCACCTAAGCGAATCTCTGTGCTTGACCAAGTTGAAAAAGAACCGAGTGCACCAGTTATGTTTACGCGCACGGTAAATTGCTTCCGCAAGAGGATAACACATCCACGCGTGAGGAAACGGGAGCCTGCGAGCTCTTTTTAAACACTCGCATGCACATCACATCACATCACATCACATCACATGTGCACGCAATACAATCCCTCGCTGCTGCATTCAAGTACATAACCTGAAAATACAAAGAACATACAAACCAATTTGGGATTTACAATTATGTACACTTTTATTTAATGGGGTAATATAGTGGTGAACTACAGTTAATTTGAGTTATAGCAACAAGTTGACTATTAGTTTTATTTTATTTTATTTTATTTGTATTTTGCGAAGTTAATATAACCCAAATCATTGTGTTGTATGAAAATTTCAAATATAACAATTTTGGTAAATTTACCATGCTAATAACCGTGGAAACGTGTCATTACAATCTCTAAAAAGTGTTTATGTCGTGTTTTATCTTCGTAACATCACAAGATTGCAATCACTAGTAAACGGAATCATTTATGTTAAAAAACTTTCTGCTAAAGATCTATTCTATTGACAAAGTATGCAATTAATTTTCATTAAAACAACCATGCTATATTTATATAAAAAAATAATAATAAATGTCAATTTACATGTATCTGGTCCATTGATAAAGCCATGTCTCAGGTCACATGTGAATTATGGATCCACAGGCATCCAATCACAGCTGACTTCCAAAAAAGGTGAAGTAACCAATGGCGTTGAGATTACAATTAAAAGAGCAAGTTTGTCCACGACTGACAAAAATAAAAGTGTTCGCGCGAGCAAAAGCAAGCAGGTGAAAAAATACAGAGCGTGAGAATGAGGGGGATGATCACGCGCGTGCGATGAGACAAATCCTCGCTAGCGAGGGCTTGTATTGCACACAGTTGATGTGATGAGCGCGTGAGTGTTCAAAAAGGCTCCCGTTTCCTCTCGCGGAAGCAATTTACCGTGCGCATAAAAATAACTGGTGCACTCGGTTCTTTTTGGCATTGATTTGCCGGCATATTTTCAGATCATCATAGACTCTGGGATCTTTGATCCCCCAACTATCAGAGAGACCGAGGGCTTTGTGCGGATGCTTGATTAGCCTAATTGTTCCTTTCCATCAATGTAAATGAAACATTGACTGACTGACTGACTGACTGACTGACTGACTGACTGACTGACTGACTGACTGACTGACTGACTGACTGACTGACTGACTGACTGACTGACTGACTGACTGACTGACTGACTGACTGACTGACTGACTGACTGACTGACTGACTGACTGACTGACTGACTGACTGACTGACTGACTGACTGACTGACTGACTGACTGACTGACTGACTGACTGACTGACTGACTGACTGACTGACTGATTGATTGATTGATTGATTGGACCAAGGCCTCCATTCCTTCTCTGTGTGAGGACATTGTATCTGACCATCAGCACCAGCCCATAAAGCCATGAAGGATGCTGGGACCTGGCTTGCTACTGAGGTAAAAATAAAAATCACACAGAATCACAAAACAGACACAAGATGGCATATGTTTTTAAACACAGAATTACTTGAAAATTATAAAAAAAATTGAAAGAGAAGGTTCATAACTGACAAGTACAGAACAATTTAAGAAATATAAAATAACATGTAAATGGAATATTCTTCCATTTAAAAAACGATTAAACTAACTGAGAAAATAGGTCATACAGGCAAACAAAGAAGACAGAACCAAAACACCATGAAGCATGGCCAAAACAGAACATAACTCAGGAGACAAGAGGGAAATTCCTGTTCAAATAATCTGTTGGGAGAATACAGGTTTTTTTTCTTGTAAATAGATATCCTCAGACTTATTGTTTAAATTGGTCATGGAGGTATCAAAATTTAATTGAGACTATTTTTAAATTAAAACACAATGAGGTAAGACTTTAGAATATGGAACACATATTCACTATTAACTAGACACTATTAACACATATTCACCATTAAGACTGAACAAACTCCTAATTTGCTGCTTATTGGTTAGTAAGGTAGTTGTTAAGTTTAGGTATGGGGTGGATAAGGGATCTAAAATATGGTCATGTACAATAAAGCATTAATATGTGTGTTATAAACACTAATAAACAGCTAATATGATAGTAATATGCATGCTAATAAGCAACTAGGTAATATTGATAATTGGTGCTTAAAATAAAGTGTTACCAACATAAACTATTTATACACTGCCTGCTAACAAGCTTAGCAAGTTAATAAGACTCACCTGGGGAGACTAATCAAGGATGAACAATAAACAAATTTTGCTGGGCAATGTCAACAGGCAACCAGGTGAGACACAGGGCCCACAACTGATCTGAAGTATCCAGATAGAAATTTGTTGCCCATTCTTAATGGGAAAGTGTCCAAGCAACATCGCTCGGCAACATTGCTCAAAACGTTGTCCCATGTATCATCAACTTAATACCTTAAAATGAATAACCTTTCTGTAATCGTTTAACCATTACTTATCATGTAATTTTTTTAACGTGGGACACAAAAGGCGTTTTTTCTGTCATGCTGTGACTTTAAAACCATAAAATACACCAAAAACGCAACATAAAATCACAGAAGGAATCACTTTTATTCATTAGCTGTAATTTAAACCTTTAGAATCCATAAGACTGCAAGGAACAAACCCAAATTAAAGCCTTTATTCAGTGATCTTCATCTCCTTCCTTGTCAGCGGATAGAAGGAGACAACACAGGTACTATGATTCATAGAGGTTTGTTAATGCATATAGCAGAGTTCAGAAGAGCAATCAGGTGAGAAGTTGGGAAGCTGCTGATTTTGTTGAACTTATCTTGAATAATATTCTTCGTCTTTGGCAGATACTGACGAACTGGCAAACGGGTGATCAGGACAGACAATGAGGGAATTATCAGGATCGATGACGTTGAGGAGAACTTAGGACGATCCACAGGTAAGGAGCCAGGTAAGTAGAGCGGTATGAATCAACGAGACTGGACAACAGAGAAGGGAAGTGTAACTGTTATTATGCGTACAGTTGATGAGCTGATGCATGTGCGGTTAATTAGAATTTGGGTGATGCTGAACGAGTAGGTGGAGCTGAAGGGTCTGGTGTGGATGATGGTGTAGCATCTGTGACAGTAACCCCCCCCCCTCCACGGACGGCTCCTGAAGACCACACAGGACGACGACGACAGGGACGGCCTCGACCTCTGTGAGCAAGAATGGGTTCGGATAGGTGTGTGGAAGTTAGTGTGGAAGTTCGTTAGTATGGAAGGATCTAGGATGTCATCCCGGCTCACCCACGATCTCTCCTCAGGACCGTATCCTTCCCATTCCTCCAAGTACTCCAGAA